GCTGTGAATTAGTACGTAATGTGATGGATTTCATATTAAATCTGGTGCAACTCTTCAAGTTTTCTCCTAAAAGATTGTTTATTTTTGAGTCATACAGACATGAATTGTCTATCAATACATGTGACACATCACCATGACTCAGAATGTTATGTCCAACGTGGTGGACAGTTCACCACAGATCGATTGAAACTATACTAAAAAACTACAAGGTTCTTCAAGCTGCAATAGATGAAATTGAAAATGGAAATGATGAGTATGCTGCTAAAGCTAGAGGTTTATTGTCATCTATGGAACTGTTTCACATGTTTTTTGGATTGAAATTAGCATTTTTACTATTTTCAGCAGCAGAACAATTCTCAATTTATTTACAGGCTAAAGATTTGACTATTCAGGAAGTAATAAAAGGAGCTCATTTGCTATGCACACACTTAACATCATTACGAACTGTGGAAACTTTTAGCACCTTTTATGCTACAATTCATCAGGAAAGTAAAAATCTAACAGAAGAACTTACTTTACCTCGATACAGGAGAGCCCCAAGAGGGTTGATGGTGGAGGGTCTACTCACATATATCTTATCCTATTGATGGATATCGACATATCTACTTTGAAGCACTGGAGTTAGCAACTGGAGAAGTTAAGAGACGTTTTGATCAAGAAGATTTGTTTATGATTAGAGAGATTGAAGATCTGCGGATTAAGTCAATCAATGGTCAAAAGATAATGGATATTAGTGACAAGTTGCAGAATTATTGTACACCAGATATCGATCAAAATCGCTTAAAATGTCAACTCTCTCTTCTTTCAGATATGATAAAATCTGCAATTCAAAATCAAGATCAAATGGTAATTAATGTAAGAACAATTGTAGAAGCTATGAATACGAGTGAAATATATAAAGGCATGCTAACAGAGGTATATAAAATGCTTGAACTGTACTTCACATTTCCAGTTACAACATCTACTGCTGAGAGATTTTTCTCTTCCTTGGATAGAATTAACACTTTCTTAAGATGTAGTATGACTAAATGTCGAGTAAATAACCTATTTTTACTGTATGTTCATTGTAATAGGACTAATAGATTAGATTTGGAAGCGATTTCCAAGGAATTTATTTGTGTGAATAGTAGAAGAATCAAAAATTTTGATAAATTATAATATTAAAAAATTCATTAGAGATACTGATATGGGTGCGGCACCATTATAATGGATAACAGGATAAGTGCAGAAAACAGCGTTTACATAGGCAGGAAAGGCGGGCATGGTTAAAATCACGGCGCGCTTTGTGCACCGCCATTTTTGCCCTTCTGTCTCCAAACTCTTCCTACACTACTGTGATACGTTTCTATTACTATGCTTTACAGGTAATGATAGCTGGAAAGGATTTCATGATTATTTAGCAATAATTTTGATTGCTTGATAGTAGAATGTGCAGTATAACATTAGCATTAGTTGTAACATTATTATAGCCTTATATTTATAGTGAGTATAAAAATTTAATGTTGCATTTCTAAATTTTATATTTACTTCTGTACATTATGAATGACGACGGCACTGTGCATGTTCTTGTACGTATTCAGTATGTCCAAAGAATGACTATTAGGTCAGATTTAATTTTTTAATATCATGCATTATGATAATGTTAATTTTTCATCCAGAAATATTGAAAGAAACTAAAGGCAATACATTTTTATATCTTGTCAAACACTTGGCATTGCTAATGTATTTTCATCCTGGTTTAACGCTTATGTATTTTTAATTGACAGTTTGATCATTTCCTAACATTTATTATAATGAAAAGTTTTAAACTACATGTTGTTAGGAGTTGTAGTTCTCCATTGAGGCCGCTTGGGACATCGGCCTACGGCCCCTACCTCTACCACTGCCAGCTCTCCTCGGTAGATTGGCATACTATTACGGAATATATATATAATATTAAGTACATCATGGTAGAGACTTACTATTTGTCTGTTCACAGCCCTCAGCTGGGCAATTATGTGCAGCCTTTGCTGTTGCAGGAAAGGCAGTTTTGGGGCAGGAGGGGCTCCTCCAGGATGGAACACGCGTGCCACTCCAGGAGAGAGTAGTTTGGGCCCCAGCCCCTTTGCTTTGAGAGGAAGGGTCTGGTATCACTAGCATCACTTACTCGTTCTGGTGGAATGCGGAAATGACTTATTATGACAATGTACTGGAGTAGAATTATTATTATTCATAGTGTTTATTAGTAATAACAACAACAATAATAATGAATACTAATATGTGTTAAGTGACACGTGTAGCCTTGATGGAGTCATCTTCCTACTGTTTTGGCTGTGGAAGCCCTAATGTACCAGCGTATAATCGCCGTAAACTCTCAAGTGAAGTTAGTGGAGATGTTAAAGATGCTTGGAAGTCTGCTTTGGTCGATGAATATGGTGATTATATTTCTGTAGCTGCTGGGGATGATGATACAATAATTGCCATACTGAAAGAGAGTGGTAGCTATATGTGTCGTCCCTGTTTCACTACTTTCCAACGTTTTCACAACTTAAAATGTAGAATCAGTGATTCTATCAACGGTCTAGATGACAAGATAACTTCTGTGCCAATTATAAGACATAACACGAAGTTACGAAGAATTATAAATTTAATATACTCAGTAGTACATGAATGACTGAATACTTATTATATAGGATCATTTTTCAGAAAGCAACAATACTTCATTAAATAGTCAATTAACAACTACCAAGTCATCACCTGGAGTATCTGTAATTAAGACACAATTGCATATACATGTAAATGATTATTTTGACAGGTTTTGATTGGTGAGGGCTGCAAAAGAAAGCTCTTTCCAATCACGCCAAATAGGAAAAAGATTGTCAAAGCTCTTGCCAGAAGAAGTTATAAATCTGTGGCAGAAAATGCTTGGAGTAATGAGACTGCTCGGAAATACTTGAAGCGAAAGTTCTGTGTTGAATTGAAGAAAGAAATTAAGAAAATGCTAAGTCATTCCACGAATTCAGTGTTGCAGAATTCTGATATTGATTCTTTT